AATAACAGTCTTGAGTTTGGACGTGAGACTTTGCCCACATCAAGGCCTCAACCAGACTAATAGTTCATCCACAAAATTTCAGAATTTTTGGAGTAAGTTTTCTCGAGATATAATGTTTTCAAAATATCCATGCGTAAAACAATATCCATAAAAAGTTGTGTTTATGCTAACAGATTCATATCTCGAGAATACTTAGTCCAAAAATTCTGAAACTTTGTGGATGAACTAGTCTGGTTGAGGCCTTGATATGGGCAAAGCCTCACGTCAAAACTTAAAACTTTGATTTTATGGAGAAGATGGGGTCCCATAGGCAAATTCTAGTAAACAGTCGACATCTCAGCCAGATCTCAACTTGCGCCCGAACCAACTTAGGGTATATCACTCCTAGCTATGCTCTATCTAACCATCATATTCCCGACCGAAAAGCTTTTTGACACATCGGGTGGTTCCCTCGTTAGATATTTCAAGTTCTTTGAACAATCAAGTGTTAATACCACATCAGTATATTTGATAATGCATTCGGCGCATCTGGTCACGAATTCTTTCTGGGAAAATTCATATGCATAATGTTGCAGTAGGAATTCATTCACTTGTTCACTTTGTGTGGCTTCGAAATTTAAACATGAATTGCAAAGTAAATATTGTTGCTGCATAATGTTGAATATCATAATGAATCTAGCTAAAGGAATAATTGTCTATAAAAAAGAAAGACAGATGGTAACTAAAATATTTATTCTTCATTTTAATTTCAATAAGCTATTCATGCGACACTATAATAGATAACATTCCCAATTTGAATTATAATAATAATAAAAAAGAAAATGATATACTTTGATAATGACTTTTTGTCGAGCATATTTAAATGTCAATTCATGTTTGATTATTTTCTCATTTATATCACACGCACCATTTATCTGTTTACGTAACTAAAGTTAGTATCCTAATTCGGTTTTTCTTGTCCGGATTCGCTTTCTGACTTATGCTGAGTCTCTAATTGGTTGCATTATGTGCATAACTCTATTCTATATTGAATGATACCGGTGTCAATTAAGATTATTAGTCGTAAAATGCAGTTCGACCTGTACTATTAATTTTTCGAATCTGTTTTGATTGTAATTGCTAATGGGATGGTGATGTCTTCTTCCTAACTTACAGTTGGTAGTTGAGAGCCGAGGGGGAAACAACTGAGACTTCGCTCTTGAAGTCCGATGAAGTCTCAGAAATCTCTTCAAATCTTATGAAATCTCATGAAGTCTCCTGAAATCTTATGCAGTCACATGAAGTCTCATGAACTCTCTTGAAGTCTCATGAAGCCTCTTGAAGTCTCGTGAAGTCTCATGAAGTTATTCGAAGTCTTCTGAAGTCTTTTCAATATTTGAAGTCTCTGTTGTTGAAGTCACTTGAAGTCTTTTGAAGTCTTGAAGTCCACTGTTTCCTCCTCGTTGAGAGCTTTTCTATAAGTAACTGAACATATGCTTTTCTTGCCCGGACACGATCTTAATTCGCTCAGAAATGATTGTATAATACTCAAAAAAATCATATTCAAGAAAATATTATTTGGCAAGAAATGCCTGAGACAGACCTATGGACATTGAACAATTTTCGAATAAAAAAACCGAAAAATATTGAGCGAACAGTAATAATGCACACAAAAAATAGAGTGCTCGAGGAAAAAATAAAAAAAATTTGTTTGAAACGCAGAAATAGATAAGACAAATCTTTACTTTGCTGATCGGTTATCTTCGAACATAATTTTAGTCTATGAAGGATTTTTATTCTTCATTTCACCCATTTTGTATTAGTTTAATAAGGTTAAAGAACATATATGAGTTCCACATTTTAGCCCTATAGTAGCTGCGCTAGCTAGCTTTTTTCGAGGAACTTTGTTTTTGCCAATTCTTTTTTAGCTATATATTATTCGACGCAGTTTAATGTGCTGATTCAGAATATCACTATATCTTTTCTTCGAAGTGTATTATGAATGATTGATTAAAATCATTTTTTCGATCAGAGATATTGATGAATCAGTTTTGTCACCGAACCTGTTCGAGATCGAACCGAGCCTCCTTCAAAGATTGAATGGGTCTTTCCTTCGGCCAGCAGACTACTTAACATATTGAAGAGTCGTTAACCTGGCAAGAGCTGCCTGCAAGTCAATACGATTTTTTTAAGTAAAATATTTAGTCACAAATTCGCTTGTTTTTTATTGACGCATTCGTCTTTGAATTCTTTATGAAACTAAGATTTTCATAATTAAAAGATTATGCTTTATTTTTCGATATGCACACAAACATTAAAAAATTTCGATTAAACTTCAAGGCAATGAATAGTAAATTAAACTAACAGTATATGGTCCTATATACAATGTTAACGCAGCAGATACAACTTCGAATGAGATAATGATGATGGCAGATGTGTAAAAAATCGAAGAATAACTAGAATACACCTCATTCATTTCCCATTTAGTACATTGAACGAATTAATAGCATATCAGTCAATAAACTTGGTTTTTGTATGAGTATGAGTTTGCAGTTCGAAGCGTCTAAGAGATGTCCTACGTCCAAAATGCATTTCTATGTGTACATGGTTAAAAACAAGTAAATAGCTAGAAAGAAGATGTAATGAAGAACAAACGATAGAAAGAATCTAGATAGGGAACAACGAAAGAAATAGTAAAAGCAATTATGTCAGCAGGGAGACGAAGAAATAGCATGGATACTGAACGTGACTATATATAGAACGAAAGAATGAAAAGCAAAGTTTGTAAATGGATTGAATCCGTACGTACATGAAAAAATATAATCCGATGCATGGAAACACTTAGCCTTTGATCAATTAAAAGTTCAATCAACATAGATTACGATTCGAGGGAGTTCAATCAAAACGGACCAGCGCATTAATATTTCTGCTGTTAGAGACAAAAGCTTTGCCAATAGATGACTGAATAAAAGCTCTGCTGGCTACTGAATCAGATAACGTCATCATAGAATTGAAGAAGTTCATTAAATGTGTAGGAAATGCCAGTGAATTATCAAAGGTACAAAATGACTTTCCTTCAATAATATATCCACACTCAAAGTTGCATTCAGTACTCCATCTTTTAGGTTTTGATCTGTTATAAAATGTAGTTTTTAGCTGGGCACGCCTAATAGACGCAGACATTCGTGAACAAAAATAATTACACGACTTTGACAATGATAACAATGAACTTCTTATTATAAAAAGACGAAAAGAATATCGGCAAAATTATATTAAAACATGATATTGTTCAAAGATTCAATAAATTTGACAGAAATATATCTTTGGAATAATTAAATTAGATCATAAAATAAGTATTGAAGCTTCTATCTTCCATAAGACTGCCAATACATAACTATTTCAAGTTTTGTTCAAGAACATTTCTATTATGTAACTCCAAATTTGAACAACGCTTTATAATCTGTCCAAATTTTTATCAATAATTATTTGAATGTGTTTTATTTCATTTACTATATGAAATAATTGACTGATTCAGAGCAAATTCACGTTGTAATGTTAAGATAGGAACGATAAAAAGGTCTCAAACTTTAACAATAAATAATTATCATTAAGATCTCATTATGTTCAAAATTTCAAGTAAAAATTCGAACATTATTTTGCAGAACATTTAAAGCTGATGAGGATCAATATTATGGAAGAAGTCTCATACCAAAAGTGGTTCATCATTTGAGGAGCTTTTCTCGTTAGTATTATTTAAATATTAGGATTTCAAACGCTAAAAGATATTTTGATTGTCTTCTTTAATATCTTTCGTCATTGGTATCAAAGTATTATTTTCTAGTGACGAATTTTTGCTTCAATAAGCCCTAGATAAATTCTCAAGAACCTTCGATGAGCGATTTCATTTCGGTAAAGTGTGTTTCATATAACTACAAAGCATTTCTAAAATACTCTCTGTGCTTAAATTCATTTAGAATAGTCAAAGATTTGACTCTTATCTCTTTATCGCAAGCTGTAAAAAAATTATCGAAAAAGCAAGTTCGCTAAAACGTGTGATCAGCAAACATGTTTCCAACATTTTGGATCATTTTTTGGGGGGATTTTGTTTCGTTGTTTTGCTTTGATGATAATGATGAAAATGTATTCGATGTATTTATTGAATTCTTCGATTGACTTCTATCATTATTAGTACTGCCATATGTATTTGTCTTAGTTGTATCAACAATAGGAATTGAATATTCGTCAAATAATTGTCGTTGTTTCTTACGATGATAGAAAAAACAAGCAATCAATGTAATAATGATAATCAATATAATCACAAATAGTGAAATAAACAAAATATATCGAAGAGTCGTGTGAGATAATTGTGATGTTTTAGTTGTTGTTGACGAAGACAATAATGAATTTTTAATTGTAACAAGTAAACGTGTTGAACTTGATATTCTTCTTAATCTTTCTTTTGTCACCATAGTTATATTCTGAAATGTACTCTTTTCAGTTATTGGTAGATTTGACTTAGTTAGGATGTTAGTGAATGTTGATATGAATGATTGAGGCATAATTATAGTTGATGTATCAAGTGTTGTAAATAATGCTTGTGTTGTCAAAATGATAGTTTTGATTACTGCTCTGACTGTCGTTGTTGATATAGCAGCTGATAAGGTATGAAAAGATGAAGTTGTAATTGGTGCAACTTTGGTTGTTGTTATTGTTGTTGGTGTAGATTTTTGTGATATTGATGTTGATGAAGGAATAGGAATTGTTGTTGTTGTAGATTTTTGTGATACCGATGTTGATGAAGGAATTGTTGTTGTTGTGGATTTTTGTGATACTGATGTTGATGAAGGAATTGTTGTTGTTGTAGATTTTTGTGATACTGATGTTGATGAAGGAATAGGAATTGTTGTTGTTGTAGATTTTTGTGATACTAATGTTGATAAAGGAATTGTTGTTGTTGCTATTCTGAACAGCATAGATGTTGTTTTTTTTGTCGTGTTCGGCTTTTTCACATATATTAATGTTGTTTGTTTGGTTCTAGATGATGTTGTTGTTGTTGTTCTGTGTGTGCCGTTTGTAATCGTTTCTGTCTAAAAAAGCAACGATACTAATATAGAACATTAATATTTCTACTGGCATTGTTAATAATTGTAAAATTATGTATCTATTGAATTATGTATCTTTTTGTGAAATTTTTGAATTCAGACATTTAACAGTTACAAACGCGTGTAAACGTATTTATCGGCGAAAATCTTGTTGTTAGCGAGTAGTAAGCGGTTAATTTAACTACGAGTCTATAGTACTTATATGTGATTGAACATATTTAAATCACGTAGTAATCAGTAGTAAATAATCGCTTGCTCAGTTTTTTTAGGAAATCATAAGTGTTGGTATTGATCGCTTATTGCATAGTAATAGGTAACTGATAATTACAATGCATATGCATTACTAATGAAAAGTAAAAGACTAGCTACAGTACTTATTGCAGCTGTATACGAATTTTAAATGAAGAAAGTACTTGCTACTACTAATAGTCGAAGTTAAAGTGACGCGATCAAACTATTGACAGCAGATACTATATGAGCTTTTTCAAAGAACATTATAGTATCATATTGTCGAACTTCAATTTGTTTTACTGCAAGCTTAAGAAAGTCACCTCTAATTTAATTGTACACTGTTCATTACATTAACAAGCTAACTGATGATAGTTCTCTTGAGTAATAAGATATTGAAAGTCTTTTCCGTTTTTCTCTTTTACAAGTGGACATATATGTACGAGTAACATGCGTATTCAATGAAGAAAATTAAATTAGTCTATTTTCATATTGCTTATAATTGTAAAAAACAAAAGATAAGGTAGAGTTTAGTTGTTAAAATAATTAGCCACTTATCTTATCTCTTTTCATCTTCGTCAGATAGAAACATATGTCATCAATGTTTCAGATAAACGTCTTTTTTGAACAAAATCTTTCAAAATGAAAGAAAAAATAAGACACTAAGTGTATCGTTAGTAATAGCAAGCTTTTTTGGGAAAGTTCTGATATCGATCAAGTTACAGTAATCATTCTGTATAAGATAGACGAAATACAAATGTCAGAATCGTTCGTCAAGAATTAGATTATTAAGATTTCAATAACTGTTCTTCAGGTACAACGTTTAATGAAGAAAATTTGTTACAAGTACGCTTATAGAATGAGTTGTTTGAGACGGTTACAGTTCTAATTAACAATAAAAATAATTTTAAATCTTCGATAGATGAATAAACTATAGAAAATCCTATCATTCAAGAGAATAATGGATATCATCCAACAGTTTCATATGTCAGTTATTTTGAATATGAAACTTAAGTTTCTCATTATAAAGAGAATAGACAAAATCTCTCAAGTATAAAATATTCATTGCTTTACTGTTATGCGTTCGTGTATTGTAAATGAAATTCAAGGACTCAGCAAACTAATATCTCAAAAACAAGAAATTAATATTGACACTTTTGAACAAAATAGAATATTTAAAGTGTAAAAAAGACATAGAACATATGAGCTTAGATGTCAATTTTCGAGAGAATGAATAAAAAAAAAGTAGAGAATCTGAAAAAGCAATTTTTTCATATGAATTACACTAAGTTTTCTTAGAGTAACTATTTTTCAAAGACCAACACGAAGCATTTACAGAGTGTTCTAAGAGTTTTTTCTCAGAAATATTTTTTTTTCGTATAATAAGCGGTACCATCAAGGGTTTTATTTCTACAGGCAAACTATAAAAGTTCTCTTAAAAGTAATTACCATTAGTCGAGTTAAAAATTCAGCCTTTTTTCTGATTCCATAATAATGCTTTGTAGTGTTTCTTTTTATAAGGAGACATAAAAACAAATCTTTGAAATTCGAACAATTTAGAGATCAAAATAAATCCAGAAATTGAAGTAATGAACAAAACAAACATTGCAAAATATTATTAAGGAGCCAGAAAAAATGTCTAATTTGTGTACCTTGGCTGAAGGTAATTATTTTAAAGAGCACTCTTATAGTATGTCTATAGAAATAAAACTTCATAATATCACCAAAATACGAGAAAAGTTAATCAATAAGGAAGTTATCCAAAAAACCATTTTTGGAACACCCTGTACATTTTTCAATTCATTGTTTAAATGAAATGTTTATTAACTATTATTAGGCGTTTTCATAAAAAGAACATTTGGAAATAGTTTACATATTAGGATGTTTGAACTCCGTTTTGACCGTTAACATGTCTGTCCAGATTGGTGCAAGATCAGCTTTTCTATATGATCCTCATTCAGTATGTCAATGATGATACTACTTACTTTCTGTATAGATTGAATATCTGAACAGTTGCCTTCCACATCAGGCTTAGAACTGTTTCGAAAACCTTTAATCGTATAACTTATTTGGTTTGAGCCAAACTTGCACGGAACGATTATTTTAAGTTCATTAAATTGTATAAAAGAAAAATTTTTTTCCACCGTAAATATTGCATGATGTGGAGGATGCTCAATAAATGTAATCTGCATATTCAGCCGAGGATAACGCATATCTAATATTGAATGTATGTATTGATTTGTAATTTCTGTGATGTTATATTTGATTATAGATATATGTATTATAGGCGGATGGGATATATTTCTTTCGTATCCAAGTAGATATTGCACTTCATAAGCATTTGCCTTAAAGAATCTTTCAAAAATTGAAATATCATCAAAGATTAGACTTAGACATCTGAAATTTGTTGGACAATGATCTTTGAATATCACATCAGTATATTTAATATTGCATTCGACGCATCTGGCTGTGTATTCTTTCTGAGAAAATTTATATACTTGACGTTGTACATTGCATTTGTTCCTGTATTTACTATGTGTGTACTCGAAATGTAAACATGACTCACTAGGTAAATGTTCTTGCTGCATAATATTGGATATCATAATGAAAATAACAACAGTAAAGAAAACAAATGATAACATACTGAGAAAATAGAACAAAATTATCTAACTAAAGGAATAATTGTGTACAAAAAGAAAGACAGATGGTAACTAAGATATCTATTCTTCATTTTAATTTCAATAAGCTATTCATGAGACAATGTAATACAAAACATTTTGTGATTTGAATTATAATAATAAAGAAAAAAAAAGAATATAATATACTTTGATGATGATTTATCGCCGAGCATATTTAAATGTTAATTCATGTTTGATTATTTTCTCATCTATATGCTCGAATCTTTCTTTCAAGACTCATAAAACACTAAATTCGGATGGTAATTTCCTTCAGTAATAGAAATGATTACACAGTGCTATGAAAAGCGCTCATCGGAAATATAAATCATGATTAAATTGCCATAATCAAAAGTGGAGTTATAATAGACGGCAATCTTGTTTATTATGGTTTTCATCATTCGCGAAAAGAAAGATCTTTGAAGTCGACCAACATTTCATTGTGTAGTATTCTATTCGAATTATCTATGATAGATATTTGATCACACCATTGAAGAATTATGACCATTTTACTGTAATCATCGATGTCGATAAACACATCATGTGAAATTATTATAAGATCCATAACTTAGTCAAAGTATAACAAATTCATCTGAAAATTTAAGAAACAAACATTGTAATGAAACGAAAAACCACTGTTGTAACCATCGAATTATTGCTAAACTTCCACAGACCCCATCTTTCAAGCAAATGTTTTTTTTTTTCGTAAAAAAAACCATACATCTGATTTCATTTATATACTAAAATATCAATAATTACTCATGTGTTTGATAAGATGTAGCAAAAAGTTTCATAAATGCTCTTCTTTTTCTTTATTTTTTTCATCAAAAATAGGCAAAATAACGTTATATGAAGATATATTACTATTGTCGGTTTCAAAATATAGTGTACTCCACTGTTTTTTCAATAACTCAATAATACATTCAGCTAGAGACCTGAAGTTTTCACTAATCGAAAGAGAAGACATGGGAGACGTCTTTTTTTTCATTATTGTATAAGATTAAATCATTTTACAATCAGTCATTTCTGAAAAATATTGCAAAAAATACACGAAAATGATCTTTTATTTCGATGAAACTTTAGTTTTGATATGTGATTTCAATAGAGAGACTTTAGATTTATAGTTCAAAATATAATAATTCGAATGATTATATTCCCACATCCTTATGTTGAACAAATAAAATCGTCTTTTTACTCGTACGAAAGCTATGGATTTCTTTTAATTTTTAAACAAGTTTTCTTACTTTTTTGTCAAAATTCCATGTGAATGACAGACCGTTTTTATATATGTTTTTTTTCGATGATTTGCAGAAATGACTGATTGAAAAAAGATTTCGTCTTATACAATACTGAAGAAAAAGACGACCTCATGTCTGTTTTTTCGATTGGTGAAAACTGCAGGTGCTTAGCTGATTGCGTTAAGCAAAAAGCAGTGGAGCACACTATCAGAGATGTTCCTCGCGGCTGAAAATCTGCCGCTGCCGCTGCCGCCGCCGCCGCCGCGGCAGCACCGCGATGGACATCTCTGCACACTATATATTGAAATGGACAATAGTTAAAGTTTTATGTAACTATTTACCATACAAAATCCCTTTTCATAATAAGAAAAAGGAGTTTTTTTTTTTGTTTTTGTTTGATGATACATCACAGCCAACAATGTTTGAAAATAAATACAAAATTTATTTATTTTTCTAATCATTGTCGAATAATATTGACTACAAGTATTGAAGAAAAATAAAAGTTATTTATTATACTCAATCAGCATAAATACTTGATTTTCCGTGCTAAAACTCTGCTAATTATACATGTTTCTTACATGATACTTTTCATTCTTTATGAATTATTATGAAGAATTATTAACTGTTTTCATCATAAAATTCATAACATATAGTATAAAGTCTATTTTTTTCTTTCTTGATTACGGTTCTCATATAAAACAATTAAATAATGAATTTTCTGCATAACTGATAAATTTTCATACTTCATATAAAATTTTATGATGATTCGACTTGTGAAATTTGGTTTTCCTTTTTCTTTAATATTTAAAGAATAAAATAAAACAATCGGCTTTCTTTTTTCTTTAATATGTTATGAATATATGACAAAAAGGAAAAAAAAACGAACGAGTTACAACAACAGAAATAATAACACGTTTTTTCTATGTTCTTTTGAATTTTAATTAATTCTCTTGATCTATTTGTTTGAATCAGCTGATTTTGCCTTGGGATTTTTAAGAACCAATATAACACTATCACCACGTAAAAACATTTTTGATATGTAACGATCCTTATTAACTGGTTTTGATCCAGTTGTTTTTGCATCACCGCCAGCAGCTGCTGCAGCAGCAGCTTTAGCTTTACTTGATTTTGGTGTTTCTTGCCAAAATTCATTAACATCTTCTAAAACCATATTACAATGTCGATCAAATGCTTTAACACGTGCCAATAATTTTCTATTATTTCGACAAGCAATTAATACTTGTGTATTATTTTTTACGGCATCTGTTAATAAAGATAATGGTCCCGTACGAAATTCTTCTTCTTCTCGTTGTTTAAGTTCTTCGGGTGTCATTTCTTGTTTTGGTTTTGATATAAGACTACTTGACATGATTTTAGTTTTTTTTTCTAACTTTTTATGAAATTTAAGTAATAACAAATGAAATGATTTTCTTCTTATTGTTTCAACCAACTTATGAAGAAAGAAGATTGGTAAAGAATAAATTAACCATTCAAAAATAATCGATGTCGCTAATATTGTTAACCAATCAAATAAAAACAAATATTAATCGGTCGAGTTAGTATAGTTATTGTTTATTTTGTTGCCGATAAAATGCGAAATATGCGTGGCGATGCTATGCGTGGTTTAGCTGTTTTTATATCAGACATTAGAAATTGTAAAGATCTAAAATAAAAAAAAGAATTTTATTTTTGTTAAATGTAAATTAATTTACTTTAATAGGTAAAAGTCGTGAAGCTGAATTACGACGTATTAATAAAGAATTAACAAATATTCGACAACGATTTCGAGGTACAATAGAAAAATGTAAATATATTTTTGAATGTTTTTTCCCTATTTTATTTCAGCTGATAAAACTCTTGATGGATATCAAAAGAAAAAATATGTATGCAAATTATTATTTATTTTTTTACTTGGTCATGATATCGATTTTGGATATATGGAAGCTGTTAATTTATTAAGTTCAAATAAATATACAGAAAAACAAATTGTTTGTATTCAGCGAAATTATTCTCTTTTTTTTTATATTTATTTATGTTTTTCAACTATCTTAGGGTTATTTATTTATTTCTGTTATTATGAATTCAAGTACAGAAATGAAACAATTAATTATACAAAATATTCGTAATGATATACAAAGTCGAAATCCAATATTTATTAATTTAGCATTACAATGTGTAGCTAATATTGGTGATAAAGAAATGGCAACTGCATTTACTAATGAAATACCTCGTTTACTTATCTCAGGGTTAGTTTTGAAGAGAAAATTTTGAAGAGGAAAATTTCTTTCTTTTAGAGATACAATTGATCCTGTCAAACAATCGGCTGCTCTTTGTTTATTAAGACTTCATCGAACAAGTTCAGATTCATTACAATTGAATACAGAATGGACTGCAAGAATTATTCATCTTCTTAATGATCAACATTTAGTAAAGAGATTTTTATTAATTACGAATAGAAAACAAAAACGAAATGATCGTCTTTTTTTTCAGGGTGTAGCAACAGCAGCCGTTAGTTTAATTGATGCACTTGTTAAACGTAATCCAGATGAATATAAAGGTTGTGTAAATTTGGCTGTTTCACGTTTAAGTCGAGTATATTTCATTGTTTTGTTTTAATTTAATTTAAAGAAAAAACATGAAATATTTTAATTGATACAGATTGTTACTTCATCTTATACGGATTTTCAAGATTATACTTATTATTTTGTTCCAGCACCTTGGCTTTGTGTTAAATTATTGCGATTATTACAAAATTATCCTCCACCAGGTAATTTATACTCAAATGAAGAAAAAAAAAAAACTTTTTTATGGTTTTGCTTTTTAATTAGATGATCCATCTGTTCGAAGTCGTTTAAATGAATGTCTTGATACAATTCTTAATAAAGCTCAAGAACCATTAAAATCGAAAAAAGTTCAACATTCAAATGCACGTAATGCTGTTTTATTTGAAGCTATTAATCTAATTATACATATGGATTGTGAATCAAGTTTACTTGTACGTGCATGTAATCAACTTGGTCAATTTTTACAAAATCGAGAAACAAATCTTCGATATCTTGCTTTGGAAAGTATGTGTCTATTAGCAACATCGGAATTTTCACACGAAGCTGTTAAAAAACATCAAGAAACAGTAATTAATGCATTAAAAGTAAGAATAACTTAAGTTTTATTGTTTCTTTTACGATTATAAAATAAGTAAATATCATATCATATATAAAAATTCCTATTACTACCATAAAATCATCAAAATGTTAGCTGCCAATGATAAATCTTAATAGATAATAAATATTTACTGAAGAGAACAGCATATAAATTCATATGCAACACAATATGTTTTTCTTTTCTATTCATGAATCTACAACAGAAGACATGCTTATTAATTATTAAAATGTAATATTTTGCATGCAAGAATAAAAGTCACTAGAGAGTTTTATCTTCATGAAAATATGCTCAATAAAAATATTGAATTTAATTTTCTATGAAACAAAAATCATGGTCTAAAAAAACTGAATGAATTGATAAAGATTGAAAATTGATAAACTGTAGCCTTGAATGAAATATGATGATGTACATCACTGTCATAAATCGAAGATGTGAAATATTAAGATTATCTCGAATTTCTTAGATATGAGATTCGACTCTTGGACAGAATTAAAACATATATTCTAATAAACTCATATAGATTTATTATAAATTCCAAATGAATGCATATTTTAATTTGAATGCATATGACATTATCTATTACAATTAGTGTTTTGTTGTAATTTGTACTTGTTGATATATCCAATAATAAAAGCTGTTAGCACTACTCCTACGGGATTAACATGTACCACACAATGTAGTTGCTCTTGCTAATCACAGTTAGATTGTTTTATTCTATCTATTTTTGGTTCACATTTCTTCAACATCATTTCATTTTATCGTCGAAAAATGTAATAAGTAAAGTAAGTAGTTAATTTATAATAACGAGACTCTATTGATATACAGTTTGTGATTGTATATCAACAATGTCTGTAATATGGGAGCGGAACTGTTGCTAAAATATTTGTTACAGCCTTTAAAGGTGGAGATGGTCTAAATTTCTACCCGTATATCTATTCAACAATCCTTTTAGAAGCTGTTTCACAAAAAAAGAATTCAATTTCATATTGTTTTCGATTGATTTAGAGTGAACGTGATGTTAGTGTTCGACAACGTGCTGTCGATCTTCTCTATGCAATGTGTGATCGATCCAATGCTGAAGATATTGTACAAGAAATGTTAACATATCTTGAAACAGCTGATTATACAATTCGAGAAGAAATGGTTAAAATTGTTTTACTTATTTTTAAATAAATAGGCTTTTTTTCTGTTTCTTTTTTTAGGTTCTTAAAATTGCTATACTAAGTGAAAAATATGCTATTGATTATAAATGGTATTTAGATATAATGCTTAAATTAATTCGTATTGCTGGAGATTTTGTTTCTGAAGAAGTAAAATTTTTCCTTTCTCTTTTGTTGTTTTAAATTTTAATTATTCAAAATTTTTTTTATAAGGTTTGGTATCGTGTTATACAAGTTGTTGTTAATCGCAATGATGTACAAAGTTATGCAGCTAAAATAGCATTTGAAGCATTACAAGCACCAGCTTGTCATGAAAATATGATTAAAGTAGCTGGATATATTCTTGGTGAATATGGAAATTTAATTGCACTTGATCCACGATCAACGTAAGATTTAGAAGAAACAAAAACAATTCATGATTTTTATCCAAAATATTTTTCTTTTCAATAGACCAATGATTCAATTTGATTTACTTCATTCAAAATATCATCTATGTTCACCAACAACTCGTTCTTTGCTTTTATCGACTTATATGAAATTTATTAATTTATTTCCAGAGATAAAACAATATGTTCAAGATGTAAGTGACAAGTTTAATATTTCAGTAAAAAAAGAAAGTGATGACTTTGGAAGATTCTTGTCAAGTTCGATAACAGAATTTCTCATGGGTTGAACTAGGCCTAGGAACGTCCATCCATGGGCCTCTCTTCTAGTTAAATATTCTCTCCAAGTATGATTAGCTTGTCGTATTAGTCATTGTCATCGACTAATCTTTTATTCCATAAATTAAATCACAATTTATTTCATGCAATCAATCGCATTAGACGACTTCTATGAACGAAAGTAAATTAAAAAGAAAATAAGAATGGCGTAGATGAAAGTAATATCCATCATCACACCGACGTACAGAGTACGAATAGAATTAGAACTAGACAAAATAATTGATTATGATATAGTGGTTCATGAAAGCGAAGAACGATCCAGCGCTATTTTATTGAATAAAACCTTGCCAGTGCGTTCCCATGAGGGGCAAAAAATGTGAAACTTTCACACTCTGACTGTTATAAACTAATGATATATTGCCGGAGGGGTTAAAATAATTTCTTTAAAACAAAACCAAATAAATCAAAATTATAACACTTTTTATAGTTGATACGTTCGCTCGGAAATTTAATCATGTCGAAAATATTTACATTTAGAACAATTTATTAGACTTATTTAATATTGTTATACTGAGACATAACTTCTTTTCTCTTAAGAATAATATATATGCGATATACCATAGGAAACAACAAATATTATTTAATTCTGAAGTAAACTTTCGGACACATTATCCTTTCTCTCGATAGATTTTCGAAATATACTGTTGAGTTTTGCCTAAACTTAGAATTCAATGAGTTCATTATTTTCTATTTTTCGTTGTATTCAGACTCTGCTAGATCAATAATACCACTGCTCTACTAATTGATACCTATAGTAAGATACTTTCACAGTATTAAATACCAAAACTTACATTATTTAAACTACTACTAAGTAGTTTGAGTCTTCAGTAGAAATCTTCGATCGATAGAATGCTTTGAAAGATTCTAGAGTGATCCTTGACTTTCTTCCTTCTGCCTTCTAGTTGCTACGGCCTAGCAGGAAGCTGAAAAATGTGAATAGAGAGGTTTACCTTTCGTTGCAGAAATTTGTGAGTTTATAAACGAACAAAAAAAATTTTCAAACCGAGAAAGTTTACTGTGATAAAACGCGATGTCTCTTGAGAATTTAGTGTTTTATCAAATATTCGACCCATGAATCGCAGCTTCTAGCTCATCGCAAAACTAAACTAGAATTATGAGTTATCGATCATGAGAAATCCTCTTAGATCTTTCTATGCTGGTTTTCTCTAGAACAGTTTTCGTAAGGTTAAAATCAAGAGTAAAGTATTTTTAATTTGATTAGCTCTCATGATTTTTTTTTAATAATTCATTTAGGTTCTTCGTCACGATTCAAATTATCGTAGTTCTGATGTTGAAATTCAACAACGAGCAATTGAATATCTTAGATTAAGTGAAATATGTAGTCCAACAGTATTAGCTACTGTATTGGAAATCATGCCACCTTATCCGGAAAAACAATCACCATTACTTGTTCGTCTTAAACAAAAGAAACCATTAATGGAAGCTGATGGTAGTAGTGAACCATCAGTGACAACGGCGACGCATGCAGAAGATGTTCCTAAATTTGCTGAAACAGCTGTAAATAAATTTTAAAAACTAATTGCTGCTTGTTTTAAATATTTGTTTTCTGTTTTAGATCCATCTTAATCAACAACAACAACAACAGCAACAGCAGCAGCAACAACAACAACAAAATGGACTTCTTGTTTCATTTGATACAAATGAATTCAGCTCTCATTATGACGAATCAACATCTTATTCACTTCCATCAACAATAACAACGACAACAACAACAACAATACAATCAACAAAGAAATTCTTATTTAAACATAGTGATATTATCTTTGAAAATGATCTTATACAAATAGGTATCAAAGGTGAAGCATCCAAAAATATTTTACATGTAGAATTTTATTATGGAAATAAAACGAATTTTAATTTATCAAATATTTCAACTAATATTACATTATTGGGTGAATTAGAATCAGGTAAAGGAATTTTTCACTTTCAGAAAGCATTCCAACGGATTTGTTGTCGCATCGAATGATATATATGAAATCAAATTTTTAGGAAAATTTTCATGTACTAAGGGTCGATACACTGGTAATAATGCATGAGAAATGTTGTAGGGTACTCATAGACATTACAGTGCCTCAAATCTTCTAAAATAAATAAGGGTTAGGGTTATCGAGTTCTATATGTTTCACAACAACAAGGACTCATTGTCAACTTGTAAAATTGTCCCCTAGAATAGTTTATTTTCCTATATGAAGGAACCGATATATTAGTGATATTTTAACAATACTCAACGGTCTTACTAAAAATTTTTATACATCAATAATCAGCACAGCATCGCTAAAGAACTGATATAAATAATTACGTTATCAACGGAAAAAAGGTTTTTTGACGTCCAGACCTCCGGAGACGAGCAATGGTATAGGATTGCAGGAGGGAGATTTGTTTTGTTCTATTATTGCTTCTACAATATTTATATCATTTTATCTGAGATGTTGTGCTGATTACTGATACATAAATTTTTTTAATAAGACCATTGAATATTGTTTGGTCCCTACTGTTCATTATTACCAGTGTATCGATCCTCAGCACATTAAATTTTTCCTAAAACTTAGTTTCTTATGTATCATTCAATGCGCCACTCTTCGCTCTACAACACGATATATGTTGTATACTGGTTTAGGATAGACCACCCAATCTGACGCAGTTCTTTAATAAATAAAACTTTTTTTTTAACTAGAACTACGGCTTAATATTGAACCAATTAAAACGACCATCGATCCAAAAGCACAAATCAAACAATTAGGAACAATTGAATGTTTAAAAGAATTTCGAGATTTACCAAAAATAAATTTTGCATTTTTGTAAGTTAAAATTCTCTATCGAAAATTTTAAAAAAATACAATTTTCTATTCTGTTTCATTTTAGTTATAGCAATGTACCACAAAAAATTGATTTTTCATTTCCATTATATATAAATAAATTTCTTGAAAAAGCTGAAATGGATTCAAATAATTTCTTCTTACGTTGGCGAAATCTTGATAAGTATGTGCATTATTTAACTAAACAAATATCCGATTTTCGTCGCATTTCCTGTTTCCGCTTACTCATAGGAAAATATTCCGTTTATACAATGGAAAATGCACTTCTAAAAAAATGTATTCTGTAGCATTTTTAGTAACATCATACTCAAATTAAATAAGATTTCTAGTTTTTCTCAACAATAAATTTTATGTGATCTTCTTTCTGGATTCATCTCTTTCTCATCAAATAATCATCGTCTCGGTCAAAAAATCGATTTGACACCTAGAGAGGTTCTCTCTTGCGCCCTCCAAGAGTTTTAACTCATCCTTCCAGATGATAATATTTGACTAGAACTTTGGTCGTTATTTTCTGTACAATGGTTAAAGACTAAGAGGATCATTTTCCATGTTGCGAAACAGTTCTTAATCAAATACCAATCTAAAATGCAAAAAAAAAACAAAATTATTCTTAAATCTATATTTTTTTATGTTTAGACCTGGTCAAGAATGTCAAAACATTTTTCCAGCAAAATATCCAATGAATCATGAAGATTGTCGTCAAAAAGTATGTTCAACAATTTTTCTATTCGATAAAAATAACGATTTATTTCATCTAGTTGGAAGGTTTTGGTTGGAGTAATTTAACAGGTATTGATGTTAATTCGGATAATTTTTGCGGTGCTGGTATATTACATACATCTGCACAACAAATCGGCTGTCTTTACCGACTTGAACCGAACAAACAAGCTAAAGTGAATCAATTCTTTTGTTTTTCAATAATCTCTATATGATTTTTTTCCTTTTTTAAAAAACCCATCAGATGTATCGTCTTACGATCCGAACAAGCAAAGACAGTGTTGCTAATCGTATGGTTGAATTACTTGAAGATGAATTTTAATCAGTTTTCTTTTCTGTTTTTTTTCGTTTTTCTTTTCTAATGTATCTATTAACAGTGCTTTCTATGCATGCATTTATAGCCCAAAAAAAAAAAAAACAACAACACGCACATTCCTTTTACTTTCACATATAGATTTCGAGAGAAAAATATTATGTTGATCTGATGCGCAAATCAATACTAATCAAAAATAAATGATTAATATTAATTTATTTTCAATTTTTCGTGCAATAGATATCTTCCTTATAATTAACTATCATTTTTACCGGTCATTGTGTCTTAATGATTGTTTTTTTTTTGTAGCGCAATGTTAGAAAAAAAAGAAATTTATGTATGTTGTCCTTGTTTGTATTGTGAATGTTAAGCGAAAAAAAAAAGTGTTCAAGCCCTCTTTTGTTGTCTTTATATAGAGTCTCAATGTCACCTACTGTGATTTTCACGATTTTGCCGCATGGTCTATGACCGTTTTTTTCTTTGTGTGTCGCTGTTTTCTTCGTATTCATATATCTAATCTATTGCTATACACATTATTATTACATAACAGGAAGAAAAAAAAATTCTTTCTTTTTGTGTCACTAATTATGTAGTTTGGATTTTTCACTTCGAATTTCTTTTCAGATTTGTTTTAGTCTAATGAAATTTATTATAAAGATTGATTTTTATGTATAGATTTCAATGTCATCATCGAGATATTTTGAATTTTGATTGCAAATGATCAATTCGAATTAAAAACAATGATTCATTGATGATTGTTGATTTGATATAAGAACTCTTGAGGGTTAACCAAGATTTCTGACAACATTAAATGAACAATTGATGTCATTCTTTTTTTCTCTATTTCATTGACAACAGGCTCGAAGCAATATTCAATATAATAGTTGTAGTCTAGTCTTGCTTTTATCTACACATTGTAGAAGAACAGGATCATTTGATTTGAAGAATACAAAAAATAAAGTTTTTCTCTCAAATCTACTTCGGAGAACGATAATTGTCGGTGATTCATCTTCACTCGTCCTCGAAATAATGAAGCACATAGTGACATGGTTAGTAAAATGAATTATTTTCTGAGTATATGATTTAAAATTAACCCTATTTCACTGAGATCTTCATTACAGAAAGATTGAAGTCAAATAATCTTTGATGATTGCAAAGAAAAAGGTGATCGAGAAAATTCTTCGAAGCATTGCACAAGTAATGAATAGTAGTAGAGAATAAATACATTATAGTTAAGCAAGGCTTTTCTATATTGTCGAACTCATATGTGTGTCTCGATTCTCGTAAGAAAGCTTATTATTCATTAATTTCGCATAATTGATCATGATATAAGTATGTTTATATTGCTGGAATTACATGAGACGATGTGGTTATGGGTGTAGTGGCAGTACCAGGAATTTAGACCAAAAGAGGCTCAGTCTCATTGAGTTTCGCAAGATTACAAAGTGTAATGGAAAATTTTTCGAATCTTGAGATTCGTCGAAAATGCTTTTTGTTCTAAACGCAATAAATCATTCGTATGAAAGTATAGAGAGCTTGATTACATATATTAAAATACATCTAAAAAGATAACTTAACATAATAAAATCCTACTGTTCTTATGATTTCTTCCAAATTTATCTACTACTGGCTCATAATCTATAGCAATATCATGTTCAACAGTCAATAGTATCAAGTCACTTGAGAAATCGGGATTCTTGCAGAACTTTTAATCATTCAATGAAGTGATAGATTTCTCATCAGATGTAATTTGATTATCAGAAGATGAATGAAGGAAAATATCGAAATTCAGATAATGATGATTATGAATCAATAACACTCAATTCTATTTGTTGTTGATCGTTGCATGATGTTTCTTTAAACGAATGAAAAAAAGATTCTCTCATCTTATGGTTTTCGGACTGCACCTCTAGAGACTGACGCGAGTTTTATTTTAAAATTTCGCGTTGCTTTCAATAATACACAAATACAAAGCTAGAAAAGAACCTGTTTGGTAGCTTAGCAAGCGGTATGCTGGGACATCACTTGCATAAAAGCTCATAGATTCTTTGCGAAACCTTGAAGAAATTTTTAAGTAAGCGGAAAAAGTTTCTGGATGGGCTCGAAAAAAAAACAATATTTCATAAAAAATAAATAATCGTTTTTGTAATTTATCATGAATCATTTTTGCTAAGGATATTAGTGTTTTACGGAAATCAAGCTTTTTGTTCTTGCTGTAAATCGTAAAATTTAGATTTCGACCAATCAGCTGATTGAAGTTTGAAAGAACTTGTAAAGTAGCCATTTCGTAATTCATTGCTAAGAGAGCTCTACTAACATTTATCAATATGTTTCTCATGAAAACTCTTGATTGATTGACTCTTTTTCTGATTGATTATCTAGTATCAGATGTATTTACAGGCGTCTTAGCTATAAGGAAAGAGAGTGGATACTAAATTTTGTTGTTGTCACCGTTTGTAATTGATATCTTCAAGCTTCAGAAAAAAACCAGTTCCATAAAAATTTGTCTTTTGGGAACGCTACTTGAGGGTATGGGTGTGGGTGTGGCCATGTTTTCGCCAGACCTACATCCACATCGACACACCCACAATATGTACTTTCGATTGATCTTTTTTCACCAAATATACTCAACAAAGTCTACCATTGTCAAGAATTCAACCCAACGAAGAAAAGCTGTTATCGCAATTCCTACGAGGTTAAAATGCGAAACACGATTTAGCTGCACTTGGTAATCAAATGGAGGTTGTTTTAATCTATCTATTTCGCAGAATAATCTCTAAACCGTCGTTTTACTTATTCTTTCAGGAACTGGAGTCAGAAACTAATTCATATATTGTAATAAGATGCTATTAATATGCGCTCTTCGATTATATATCAACGACGTCTTGCACAGTCTGTTTGTTGCAGGGTGTGGTTCGCTTTTCTCGCTACATCGTTCAACACTTCTTTCTCTGATTCCTAAATAATTATTTATGAAGAAGTTATTAATTAGCTATTAATTAGCAACTTGTTAGAATTTAATTAGGTATCAGTTAAAATATCTGCTAGCGTCTGTGCAGAAGGACAGGGGAAGTTAGTGCAAATTTCTAGCCTCGATACTTTTGTCTTTTGTCATTGTGTGTCCTTGTCCTGTAAAATTTTTGATCCATATGTAAATTTTGTTTTTATTTTTGTACTTAGTTCTGTTACTTATGCTTGTTCTTCACATAAACTACTATCAGTATCGGTAATCTGTCTGTCTGTCTTGCGAATCTAAAGACACAGATTTCGGGTTGGTACCAAAATGTAGCCGAGATTTGTCGCTAAAATTTAACAAAGTTGGATTTTTCAAAATGTTACCTGTTTACTGTTAGTTAAAGTTGTTTTCCTCAAAAAGTTGAAAAAATGAGGGCAACAATTACGAAAAGTTTTAGTTTTCTCAAAGCGTAAATAGAAAATGGAAAATACTGCTCTTTTACGTTGCAGCAAGCTATTTTCTCTTCAATTTAAAATCTTCGTGAGCTTTCTAGATTGAACACTGACTGCAAAATCTGGAAGGTACAAACACTAAAAACAGGATTTAGCTGTTGATGTTTATCATCTCTTCAACAAAGCCCACATCCGTATCCATATATGCGCTCGCACACACAGCTCACACGCAAAAATATTGAAGGTCTAGACCGTTCTATCGGAAAATCTACAGAGAAAAGACATGAAAAAATACAAGTCTTTTATGTAGATGCCAGTTTTCATTATTAATTGCTATTTATGGTCATGTCCTGATTCTTCCTAGATAGAAATTCTTGACGAAAATTTGAGACCAGAAAACAGCTATATGAGCATATCTGCTGTTTCTGCATAGATGCTTCGAAAGAACAGCCTATCTCTTGAATATTTTCACACTTGAGGTCACAACTTCTTTTCACGAATGGCACTTTTCGACCACTTCCCATCTAACTAAGTCGAGAAAAGTCGAAGAAAAATAATCTTTCTAGAACAGTGGTTGAATACTCATGAATATACCCTAATATGAGTTGTGGAATTCGATCATACTTAATAGTAGTAGTGCAGGAATCTACCTGTAATTGGTGAAGGTCGATTTTCTCAAGAATTGAATGATGTGTTACGAATTGATTTTGATCAAAAAGTAATCATTGCACGAATCTACAAGAACAAAAGTTTAACTTATTTCAAGTTTTGAGGATAACTTCATTGCATAGAAATTTTCAGAAGTCTGCGAACGTCATCGACACTAGTCTTAATTTCGATAGAGAATTGTACAAATCTCTACTGAAACTAGGTATTGCCCAGTTACAGTTTTAAACTGGTTAACTGAGAGCAGTCAACTGGGTACCCAGGTAATTTTACTCACATAGCTGGTTCAGCAGCATTTTAACTTTCTCGAAGTCAGCTTAATTATATCAGTTTAATGCAAGCACAAAACTTTGGATTATCCATGATTTTTTCTACTAACAAATTTCATACTGGTACATGTCTATATGATTACTATTCACAATTCTACGCATACTCTTCTTTCCAATAGACATACATCGATGCCACTTTTAACTGGGTACTCAGCAACAAAAAGTGGATCATAGATAACTGGAACATACCTACTTCTGGTAGAAGAAAGAAAATGACAGTTTTAGATATTCGGTTTCAAGTACAATGATAATTTTTAAAGATAACCAATCAAATGAAAGTACTATTAACGAATCAAATGCAGCTATCATTTTATGATTTACTGAAGAATCAGTGTGTCTATTTTATGGGACAACTTTTTGGACAGATTTATTCTAAAAAAAAAAGATTGACATGCAATTCTTCAGTAATGACAACTTTTCAACTGAAACATTTGAATAAGATACTGGCATTGCAATTTTTTATTGTAAATGAAGCAGTGTCGAACGATTTAGATTTGACCATTCTCTAACACGAATATTGAATGCTCAATATCAAGATTTTCTTCTGTTACTCCTGTTGAAAATCGATCATAAGCATAATACTATCTTTCATCAGAATTTCACCCC